CATGATTAAAATGCATACATCTTTCATTGCTTTACAAAAAGAAAATAATACATATTTTGCTGCCATTAACTCTAAATAATTTATGTGATTCAAAGTTTCATCAGGTAACCAGTTTCCACCTGTTACATTGCCATTTGGGTCAGCTCCTCCCCATCCTTTCAATGAAGCATCAGATTTTAAAATATAAGTTGGGTTCTCAACTAACAAAGATTTATTTACTGTTAAAATATTGTTAACCCACCATTGTATATCAGATATACATTCAGAATTTAAGTAAATGTTATGATCAAATTCACCATTGAATTTACTTAGTAAAGAGCTTTTTAATATATCACAACGTCTATAATATATTTCGCCGTACTGAACTCCAGGAAGAGAAGCAACCATTTGGCCAATTACACAAGCAAACAGTCTTAATGTTATAAATTTTGATGACAAAATGTCTAGACAAGCTTCTTTCAGCTTATGAGCTCTTTCTTCAGTTAAACGAATAGTCATACTGGAAGAATTCAGAATGAAACCTAAATAAGTGATCTCCTGTACAGGATCTAAAATGGATTTTTCTGGATGAACCACAAAACCAGCTTTTAATGAAAACAGTACAGTATCTCTGATATTGTTTCTACAATCTTCAATGTCATCCCCAATTAACAGACTGTCATCTATAAAGTTTGTATTCAAATGGCCCAACTTTCTTAGTTGAGAGAAAAATACATTTGTCAGTTTTGTGAATATACGAGGAGCTGGTGCATAGCCATTAGGCAAACAACAGTACTGATACAATGTCCCCTTCCAGACAAATCGGAGATATTTTCTATAAGGTTTGGAGATAGACAGAGCATGATAAGCATTCGACCAATCAATTGATGCCATGTAACAATTTTTTGTAATTAAATTTATAGCATGTGATAATGTATCCATCTTAAAATGATGATAATCAAGATTGAATTCTTTAAGATCAAGAATTACCCTGAGTGATCCATTTTTCTTATCTCTTGTGAAAATATTTGATATATATTGGCCTTCTTCAGGACTTGCCCTTGCAATGATTTGTTTTAATAATAATTTTTTAATTTCATCTGACACTGCAGCATTCTTTTCCTTAGACAATATATATGGAATGGGTATCATGCTCTGATTTTCAAAATCTGAATTTATCTCCATATCAATGCCGCACACTATTTTAAGTATGTGAACATCGGAAGTCAATGACTTCCAAATGAAATTTTAATTCGCCAGCAGTAAAATTGTTCATCAATTTTAGTAACTTTTCATCTAACTGACTGCGAAATTCTTCCCAAGAAGTTAGAGATTCTAAATTACTCACCGATTCAAACAAATCTATTTTTTCTCTGACTGATTTTTCTTGTTCTGATTGTAACTGCTTCTCTGATGAGAACTGTACTTCTTGTTCGAGAACCNTGTACTGACTTGATTT